TTTTTCTCTGTTTTCTCTTTTTCAGTGACAGCTTCTTGACAGCTACATGTTCCAGGGGTTAGATGGTCCTAAGGGTCCACATTTCTGCTGTTTTTTCACTTATTTTGCTTGATTTTCTCCCTCCTTATGCAAGTGCGTTATTTTGTGTCTAATCTTTTCAGAAATATTTCCTGAAAACTGATAACTTGTACTTAATGGCTGTTTTGAGTGGAAATGAAATACACAAAAAGGGGGTCTCGCAGTTTAGTGCTGTGGTGTAAATGAATCTGAACTTTGTTTTTCCTGAGCTGATCGTGCCCAAAGAAACAAAGGAGAAAGAACATGGTTTCATGGTGTGTTTTGCTGGTGGTGCATTAATAGGCTCGATGTTCTGAGAGCTCTCATGTGATTAAACTCATGAATGGGCTTCTGGGTTGTGGGTTGTGTACACAGTATAAATAGGCATAGTTTAGACCAGGGTTTCTCAAACTCTGGCCCGAGGACCACAAGTGGGCCGCAAAGCACCCCTTGGTGGTCACTGTGCCTATACTCAGGGGGGGCAGTGGAAAAAATCATTGGCTTAACAATAAAAAATACATAAAATGTTTTCAGACCGTTAACAACATGAATACAAGCCCCTGCAGTAACAGGGCACAAAGGCAGCTTCGTCAATTTTTTTGCCCTTTGCCTCTAGAAACAACTGACCTTTCAGTTGACCACTATTCTGCTGATACTTTGTGTTCACTGATACACACATTTGGCAAGGGTAGGCACCCAAACAGCACTCTGTTGAAAATTTCCCCAAAAAAGGACATTTTTCAGCTAAAAAGCTGAGACTTGTTTTCTTGTGGGCCTTCATGGTTCTTAGTGATAAACAGGTGGGCCTTCAGGTGGAAAAGGCTGAGAATCCCTGGTTTAGACTGAAAGTCATTATAATGTTCATATGTTTGTAGGCATGTGTTCATCCAGCGTTTCTTCTGAAATCAGAGTATTAACAGTGAGAGAGTCCCCCTTTGCTGCAGTAACAGCCTCTGGTCTTCTGGGAATGCTTTACGCTAGATGTTGAACATTGCTGTGAGGATTTGATTGCATTCAGACACAAAAGCGTTAGTGAGGTCAGGAACTGATGTTGGATGATCAGTTCTGGATCATCCCAAAGGTATTGGACGGAGCTCCATCTTTTCCACAGCGCAGTGCTGGGGGGCTTTATACCCCTCTAGCTGACACATGGTGACCCAGAGTGTCCCAGTCTATTGGTCAGTGCCTTTCTGTGGTAATTATACAAACTGTACGTGCACAGTTGAATGGCTGTGTCAGCAATGAGTGCACCTTAAAGTAGCTGAATTCACTAATTAGACGGGCTGTGTGGTAGGGAATTTTGGCAAATTCTGTTGGCTGATAATCTGACTGCATTCAAAGTTGTCGTAAAATACTTGATATATGCACACTTATGACAAACACATCAACTGAATTCTGTATTAATGCACTTGTATGGACCGTTGAATGTAGTACTGATAGGTGGGTTGGGCATAAACATGTATATGAAGTAAATAGAATGAAACAGTAATAAATATGCCCTATGTGAGAACTCAGTTTGTTGGACCCCTTAAAATCCCAGGCTTATTACATCCTAAGGCTTATTATTCAGTAACTACAGGGACATCAGCAAATTGGCTGAGGTTTGAACTTTGTGCCTGTCGGTGGGCCCTGGCCTTTTAAGGGGTTAAACTAGGGCTGACTTATTTGGGGAAAGTATCCAATTGTGATTTTTCGGACCAAATTCGATTTAAATTGTGATTATTTTCCATAAATTAAGATTTTTTTTTAAATTACGACCTGCGAATCTAACTTTTCTGGCTTGTGACTTGAACACTGAACGTGGTGCACCAGAATGAAAGTTACTTGTGGTTGGATTGTCATGTACGCATCAAGTGGGTGATTGGTTTCCTCTGATTGGTCTAACTCATCTACAAGTTAAATTTCCACACTTAAAACTTAAGAGAACGTTGATGGTAATGTGGGCTGTAGCCTAATTAAAATTGCAGCTCTTGTGATTTGAATATTGCACTTTTTCAAATTGTGGTTTTTGATATAAACACTAATAATCTTTCAGCCCTAGTTTAAACTGAGGGGCTGACAGCTGTAGTATGTTCATGAATATTTGACCAAATACTAAAAAGTTGACAAAATGACCAAAATATATATAATAATGAAGAAGTGCTACTGAAAAATCTCTTTCTAAAGTTCTGAAGTATTATTTATCATTTATTACTAGGCCAGGTTAATATTGGCTCAGTGTACCTTCTGATCACCACAGTCATTTTTTAGTAGGCACATTAGTACAATTCAAAAACGTTCCTTAACTTGTTGTTGAATTGTTGTTTCATTGTAAAAGAGATAAAGTTACTTTAAGATTTTTTAACTAAGCGTCAGTTTAACAATGTTTTTATTTGTCATTTTATCATTTGCATCACTGTTATATATCTGTGTGATGTTTGGTTGTTTTGTTGCTTTAATAATAATAATGATCTTTCTTTATAGCACCTTTCTTTCATAAACACATCAGCTCAAAGTGCTTTACAGTGTGTGTGAGTAAAAACCACTATAAAAAGTCTGTGTTTGTTTAATAAAGAAAATGAAGGAAAAGTAAAGGCAGCACTGAAATAGAAAGAACTAAAAGGGAACACAGATAAGAATGAGCACAGTTTAGACTTGTGCATTATAGCTGGTCTGGTAACGTGTTTGCCTTGACCCTGGTCCCTGTTTGACGCAGCCACATGGAGGGCAGAGCTGATTAGAGCAGATTTTCTTTTAATCCTGGTAGTAATGTTGGTTGGATAAAAACACTCGATCCAATTAGGCTCCACAGGCGGCTGCAGTTCTTCGCAAACCAGCGCGGCTCTGATTCTCTACAGCGTTTATGAGCTTTTATCCCATGTTTTGAAGTATCTGATCTCTGTAGGTGGATGAATACTATCTTGTTGATGGACTGTGACTGTCCTTTGCTTTAGCAGATTGTGGGCCATGCTGGCGTCAATACGATTTCTGGCCTCTGACTTCTGACCCAGGGAGGAGTCTAAGTTCAGAAGCAGCTAAAAGGCCTCTGCTAAAGCGAAGTGAGGTTAAGCCGATTGAGTTGCTTGTTTGTGTGCTGGTGGAGAGAGTGAGGAAGCACCAGCCTGGGCTGAGTTTAACACTCGCCTCCGTCCAGGGGGGCGTTTAAGCGAAGATCAGTAGGCCTGGGTGACACAGTGCTAACAAAGTCATCAATTCGAACATTTCTGTTGATATTGATAATGCACATTTGAGGTATTTTTAATAAAATTATTATGCCGTTCACTTCCTCAGTTCAGTATTAGCATCAAAGACTATAAAAAACACTTGACTTAGTGTCTCAAAATACTGACATTTTCTCAAAATATTGACTTAGTGTCTCAAAATAATGACTTTTTTTTCTAGAATTATTGACTCAATGTCAAAATAATGATGTACATTCTTGAAATGTAATACATTTAAAAAAATAAGCCATTATTTTGAGACACTAAGCCAGTAATTTGACATAATAAGTTTGAGACAGTAAGTCAGAGTTTGTTTGTCCAGCTTCCAGAAACAGAGAAAAAGAAAAAAAAAGTATAGTAAGTGAGAGAAATGAAATAGGCTAGATTGGACAGTGAATAATTACCCTGGAGCTCAGAGATTTTATTTGCACAGCATTACTGCTACACCAGTAACTGTCCTTGGGCAAGACACCTAACACTTTATTCACCTACCACTGAAAAGTCTTTCTGGATAAAAAATATGTTTAAAATATTAAATATGTACACTACATAAAGTTTGTATTTGCTTGCATCCTAATCGCTTTTATTATTTTATAGAAAATAATACATTTTAGGATGTAGATTTAAATATTACAAACAACACATCAAATAGTAATTTAAGATGTAATTATTATATTTATAAATTAATGAACAGTATAACTTTATTATCTATTTAGAAACAGTTTCTGAGTTATTGAGCCAGCTTTTGAAACACGGATGTTATTCTAACGGCATTCTTGATGTTCTGCAGTTTAATCAGTCATTTTAGAATCATCTACATCTCCGTTCATAAATCTAGAATTGTTCAGTTTCGTACAAATTACATAAAAGCCGCGAATTAGCATATTAGAATCATTTTTATGTTTTTCTGCAGTCAAATGGGATTTAGTTTACTGAAAGCATTGCATTCCAAACTGTTATTCCAGGTTCCAGGTGCAAACTACAGAACGTAAAGGGCAAAAGAAGCCAAATGGAAAAAGGTGTGTCTACATTAACATGTTTTTTTTTAGTTTTTTCCCAATTTAGTCGTCTCTAGTTCCACCCGCTAGTTAGGACTCCCCCAGTCACATGATACCACCAGCGCTAGGAGGGTGAAGGCTAACACAGGCTTCGTCTGAGGCCTGTGAAACCAGCCGTCGCTTCTTTTCGAGCTGCCGCTCACGCAACGTCACTGGACAGCTGAACGCGCTCGGAGGAAAGCGCCAACCGCCAGATCTGTTACATCAGCCAACAGACGCCTGCGCTGACTAGCATCGCTCTGAGTGATGGTAGGAGAAGGAGGGGCCATCCTACCCACCCAGAGAGAGCGAGGCCAATTGTGCTCTCTTGGACTCCCGGCCAAAGATGGCTGTAGCATCACCTGGGATCGAACTCGTGATCTCCTGATAATAGGGTCATAGCTTAGACGGTTGCGCCACTCGGGAGCCCCTAGCATGTATCACATTGACCAGATAAATCACATCTATACACCACACATGTACATGAATGACACGAAGTAATTTTTCTGCATTTTTTTTTTCCAGTCGTTTTTATCCACATCAGTATTCTTTGACTGCTTATTGTGACAGGCTCATAGCTAAGCTAATGCGAGTGCAGCTACTGCTGCACCTCTGCACTGCTGCACGAGTACTGCTACTACTCTGAGTTTCCATCATGCACATTCTCTCTCTCTCTCTCTCTCTCTCTCTCTCCCTCACTCTGCAGGACAGTGAGGTGCAGAAGCAGATTGAGATGGAGGTGCGCGTGCGGGAGGGCGCCTGCAGGCTGCTGGCTGCGTGCTCTCAGAGGGAACAGGCTCTGGAGGCCTCTAAAAGCCTCCTAACCTGCAACAGCCGCATCCTCGCCCTCATGAGCCAGCTCCAGCGCATGAAGGAGGCGCAGGCCCTGCAGCGGACTGGACGCAGGTAAAGCACTGGGGGTATATGTATATACACATATATATATATATATATATATATACACACACACAGAGAGAGAGCTAAAAGTAGAGGTGGGTAGTTTATGTGACAGTTATTTATCAATTTCCCACCTTTAGCTTAAAGTGACCCAAAAAAGATGGAGTTAATGGAAACAGTCTGGCCATCTGACCATTCATAATTCTATTTCAGGTCATCTGCTGGTGGCTCTCTTGATGAGAGGAAGCCCGGTACTGGGAAGGTGGCTATTTCAGGTACAGTAAAGACTGTCCACACACACATGCGTGGAGTTGTTGTTAGTAATTCATGGACGTCTCACTTTGCATATTTGTCTCTGTAGATATCCGCATCCCTCTCATGTGGAAAGATTCTGAATATTTCAAGAACAAAGGCGGTGAGGATGAGCTCTGCACCTGAAACTGGGTGCTGTTTTGTCTGTTAGTTTGCCATGTAGAAAATATTGTGATAATGAATTGAATCAAAACCGATCAGCACTACCTGAAACGATGTATGTGTTTATTTTTGTCATGTTTTTTGACCACCAGTTTGCGTATCTCTCTCTGTCAGAGTTGCACAGGTGGGCTGTGTTCTGTTTGCTGACTGTGGGCAGAGAGATCTATGACACTGACCTGGTGATGGTGGACAGGACACACACGGATATCTGCTTTGAGGACACACTCATATTGTGAGTTATGACATTCTAATATTCTGTTCTGGTCCATAATCTGTGATCTCTGTGGTCATCCCTTCTGTTTATTTAACCCCTTAATATCTAAGGTACTGACACGTTAGTTTCACAGTAGTTACAGAGTAATTCTTAGTAGTTACTGAATAACTTATAGTACTTACTAAATCATTTATAGGTCACTGAGTCATGTAAAAGTTACTGAATAATTCATAGTATTCAATCAGTAATTTATTGTAGTTACTGAATAATTTGTAATATTTACTGAATCATTAATTACTGAGTAATTTATAGTAGTTACTAAATTATTTATAGTAAGCACTGAGTAATTTATAGTAGTTACTGAATTATTTGTAGTAATTACTAAATACTTCATAGTCATTTTGAAAATAATTTATAGCAGTTACCAAATATTTTGTAGCAGTTATTGAATAATAGCTAAATAATAAGCCTACATAATAATAATAGACACTACAGCCTTTATAACTCAATTCTGTGACTGGTTCATCATCTTATGATAAAAAATGTTATTGAAAAAAGCTGACTATAGAAGTCTATTATAGAAAAGATTTATTATCGAAAAAATATTGTATTCCAAAATAGCATTCAGGATCTATGCATATATTATTGTGAAATAGAAAAGTATTCAAAGGAAATTAATTAGCATTCATTCTAATGGTTGTGAATTAGGATAACTTGGGCCCAATCCCATTTCTTACTTTTGCCCCTACGTAAGTAAGTAAGTAAGTAAAGTTTATTTATATAGCGCTTTTTACAACAGGTGTTGTCACAAAGCAGCTTTACAAGGAAATGAGCATTACAAAAAGAAATCCGGGTCTGAGCCCCCATGAGCGTCGCCAGTGGCGACAGTGGCAAGGAAAAACTCCCTAAGAAACAGGAAGAAACCTTGAGAGGAACCAGGACTCAGAAGGGGAACCCATCCTCCTCTGGTCGACACCGGATAGTAAACATTGTTAGTATAAAGACATTGTTAGTATAAACGTCTGGTTTTCGAGTGTCATCTTGCCCCTTGGAACTGAGTTACAAGGAGTAGTGGTTGAAATCTTCCTCTATGAAATGGGACCCTCAAATAAAGAAGAGCATTACTTCATTAACAGCTACTAGCACTGCTCTGTAGGCGACCCTGCCAGTCTGCAGTGACAGCAGAGGAGGGTAAAGTTCAGCTCCTCACTGCTGGGCTTTAGTTACATTTAAGGAATCTTATGCCTTCAAAGAGGGGGGCAATTATTTATTATCACCCACCCCTAATTCGTCAGTGATACGAAGCTGAAGTCAGCTAATCACCAGCTTCTTGTTCGAATTTTCCCGTTCCACCTTATATAGGTACAGTGGTTCTGATGTCTGAGGTGCCAGAATGTAACTACTGAACCATTTAAGGCGGAATGGGACATTTAGCTATCTAGCTACTGAGACATCAGGAAACTACTGGTGATTTTAATGCTTGTTATGAAGAAAAGGACCGTAATATTTTGAAACGACATTAAACTAAACTACCCCTCTATCCCAACAAACATGGGGACACCCAACCCCTAGATGTGAAGGCACAAAACAAAGGGATAAGGGCTAAATGGTAGGGGCAAGAGGTGAAATGGGATTGGGCCTGAATGGTCTAAATAAAAAAAAGCAAAGCGATACAGTCAGTCATTGTCAGAGAGATCAATCTGCATGGTGTTTACATGCCGTGTTTTGGTGAATTTCCTGGTAAAGCTGCCAAGGGAATACGTGTTCTTTTCTAAGTTCATGAACCAAAGGGTGTGGCAGGATGGATGAGACAAACATTTTTGTAGGTCTAATTTCCCTAACTGTCTCTCTCTCTCTCTCTCTCTCTCTCTCTCTCTCTGTCTCTCTCTGTCTCTCTCACTCTCTCACTCTGTACAGTGCGGATGTGTCTCCAGGTTTCGAGTTGCGATTGGAGCTCTATAGCTGTTACGTGGACGAGGAGTTCAGTCTGGCTCAGGCTCCGCGGCGGCTGGCCCGTCTCAGCGGCTCATTGGGTCGTTCTTCTGGCAAAAGGCTCCGTGCAGCTCTGGAGTCCGCCACAGCCTGCGGACTGAACGGCAGCACAGACAGAGAGGCAGACGGAGACAGAGCAGCGTCACCTGGAGGATCTCCAGTACATGCACCAGCACTGTAATGACATTAATAACAAGAATAATACAAATCTTCAAAATTTTCATACAAAATTTTAATTAGAAACACCTATCAAACTTGCCAACCTATCAAATCTACCACCAGCTGAGCTGTAAGAGATCCTAGTAATCTGGAGTGAGAGAACATCAGTTCAGTTATCAGTAAACCAAAATCATTAATCCTGTTCCAGGGTATATAAATACTGCTGACTATTAATAAATACAAACACACACGTTTGTTTGCATATGCTGTCTGCATGTTCCCAGAATTACATAGTGTATGTGCTAATATCGTATGGTTCTGTCCACAGGGGACCGAAATATCACCTGCTTGCCCACACCTGTCTGACCCTATCTCATGTCCAGAATTCATTCAGAACTCATGATCTGACCATCTCTGGCACAGGTGAGAAGACTGGCCCTTTAGCACTTGTAACCCCTTTTCACAGTCTATTTTGGAGGTCCTTCAGTTCGGCTCAATTTTAATATTTTTAATCGAATTAAACATTTTTTTAAATATTTGAATTAAATTTGAGTCAGATTTTGAATTGAACTATTTTATTTGATTATATTAAAAAATATCAGACAAGTTTATTTCCCCTCCGCTGGCAGAATGGCCACTAAAACGGCCAACTGGGTTTAGGCAAAGTGGTATGCATATTTTGTTGTCTTTTATTTTAGGTTATCACTTTATAGTTTATATTTTGCTGTACTTTGTTTTGTCTTTTACTTTACAGTCAGTTTTCTTGGCTTTGTTACTTGTTTTGACCTTTGCATTTTAGCTTATTTTATTTTTTTTTAAAAAATCCCTATTTAAAATATGCTTAAATGGTGCTCTATAAATAGATTATTAAAAATGTGAAAAAAACATTATTATTGTTATTATTATTATTATTATTATTTAGTTAGTTACCATCATCGTCAATGTTCTGTGTGTGTGTGTGTGTATGGGTGTGTGTGTGTGTGTGTGTGTGTGTGTTAGAGGACAGCTCATTCTGGTTGCCGCTCTATGGTAGTGTATGTTGTCGTCTGGTGGCTCAGCCGAACTGTATGACTCTGCCAGTAATGAGCGGCAAACTAAAGGTCCAGGTGAGTGTTCAAGTGATGAGTGCATTTATTGTTGAAGTATAATTGAAATTCTTTGTTTTTTAATATATATATATATATATATACAAAGCCTGTGTTTGTTACTGTGTCTTTAAGGCAGATATACTGTGATACTGATTGGCTCATTAAAAACAGTCCTGGGTGAATTTGAGCACCCCTGGTCAAATTACGTTTTCTTGATTCTCTTGAAGTGAAAATAAGTTGTCACCTCTACAGAGTGAACTGCATTCTTTAATGTAAAATTACTGTTCATTTACTGAATTTAACATTCTGAAAAAATAAAACGAAGTGTCACCTGTGCAAAAGGTGTAGTACATTTTATCTTGTATTTATTATTTTTTCTAATATGTTAAACTCGGCAAATAAATAGACATTGTGCAGAAAATTGATAGGCATGCCTTTTTTAAGTTAGAGAATGTGTAACTGTATATGTAACTGTTGGTGTTAATGATACCTAAAAAACAATGAATTCAAAATAAGCTGGTTTTGCAGCTTCATTTCTGTATTTGGAGTGTTTCTGAAATTTTAGACATTTTATTGAAGTTTATTACCTACTTCACAGTCTTTTATTTAAAAAACTTAGGAAAATTCTGTTTTCCACAACTTGGGCCCTTTAAGGTCTGTGCTAATACAGGCCTTCTGATCAGAATTGACCACTATGATATATACCATCGCTACTCCACCGCTTCTTGAAGGGGCACCAATCAAGTTGCAAAATGACCGAACTGAATCAAATCACTGTGAAATGTGAGAATTCTTGATGCGTTGAATCCTTTCATAAAGAATAATGATCAGTGAGGTCAGACATTTACGCCCCTGATCAATACCTAATAATATCTGTCTCAGCCATTGTTCACCTGAGCTTGCTGATGTCATTGGCCGTCTCTGTCCCTGCAGCAGCCAGAAGATTGTCCTGAGAGCTGGTCAGAAGTCTACGCTGTCCTGAAAGGGACAGGACTAATCTGCTACCATCGGCAAGAAGATGTGGAAACAGAAGAGCCAGCATTCACCATCCCCATAAACAAGGTGAGGCTTATGTAGTCATCGGTTATCGCTGGTCAGTCTAAATACCTCTTTCCAACGACAGGCTGCTTTCTTTTCTCTATGTTCAATATTTTATATAAATTGTAAAATCTTATTTTCTGTTCATTTTGCTCTTGTGTTACTGTTTGCTGTCCGGCGTCGTCCAGAGGAGGATGGGCTCCCCTTTTTGAGCCTTGGTTCCTCTCGAGGTTTCATCCTCTTCGTTCTTAGGGAGTTTTTTTCCTGACACTGCCGCCCTTGGCGATGCTCAATGGGGCTCAGACCTGGATTTTGTGTAAAGCTGCTTTGTAATAACGCCTATTGAAAAAAGTGCTATATAAATATTTTGACTTGACTTAACTTTGCTTAGCCAGGCTTACATCAGCACTTACATTTCCCTGTTGTGGGAGCAAAACCTCGTATCTCCATTTTTGTTGTTTTTCAGGTTTTGGCATAATTTGAAAATGCCTGCTGTCGTTTACATTGTGTGTAAATTTTATGATGAATGGACCAAAAGAAGCCCAGAATTGCTTGGTAAAACGTCTGGTTCCATTGACTTACATTAAAAGAAAAGTATGTTTTTTCCTTCTCCTGTAAAGTTACCATTTTGGAAATAAGAGGTTTTGTTCCTACAGCAGTGATTTGCTAACATCAGCTCTGGTGGGAAAAATGTTTGAAATTATTTTCTCTGCCTGCCACCGTTTACCTCCGAGTGTAGTTGAACACTTCAGCCACTGGAGGTCACTCTGTGTCTGATACACAGGGTAGTTATTCAGTGAATGTACTGAATGCTTGCAGTCATTCATCACACCACATTCTAGCCTCATTTTGGGGGCGGATTTGGAATCTCGTGCATTTTTATGGGGAGTGATGATGACAGTGCCCTCAGTCCCTGTTTAAGCGAAGTGCTCCGCCTGCCACATACAGAACAGGACACGCTGTACTCAAAAGATTTTTGATTATCAGTGGATTTGATGAGGAATTTGATCAGGCATAACCAAAATCAACCCTTTAAAAACATTATCAACATTTATGAATATGAACATTTGACTGATTGGAGGCCACTTTTTATGATGGTGTGGTTTTATATCTTCAAAAACAATCATGATTAATTTTTACATAACCATTTCCAACTTAGAATTAAATAGGCTGTTTATTACTGTTACTGTGCCTGATATATGGAATATGATATGAAGACTGATATATGTAAATGATCTCTGTTCTGATTGGCTGCTCTATGGGTTAATATGTTCATTATAACTTCAATGTAAATGGGCAGAACTTTACTACTGCAGGCTGAATTATGTGTGAAATATGTAAATGCATTGTTTTTTGTGACATCACAAAAACATTGAATTCAAAACAGGCTGATTTTGCAGTTTAGTTTCCGTATATGGACAATGTAGACTGGAAGGTGAGAGGTACTTTTTGAAACTTGAACTATGTTCACATACTACATCTAACTCTTTTAAAAAAAAGGAAGAGTAAAAAATCGATTTTGCAAGATATGGGCACTTTAATATTTTTATTCATGTTCTTATTTAGGGTCTACAGTTTTTTTAGCTTATTCAGACCTTTGCCTGCATGTAGATGTTTATTCCCCTAATGCAGAAAATAATAGTCACAACAATATTGTTAAAACCTATATGTAGGTTTTAAGTAAGTTAAGGTTTGTAAGTGGTCAAACACACAGTATTCTGTTAGTGAATGAGGCCCAAGTAGCAACTGTCCCTTGTCAGCACAGTAAAAAAAATCTGAGACCACCCATCATTTGTTTAATTAACCGGTCAAAATGGCCATTAAGTACAACTTATTCATTTTTCAGTGCCAAAAAAAACAGAAAACATATTTAACAGAAAATTACACAGAAGCCTCAACTACTACAAATATTATATATATATATATATATATATTTATTTTATTTTTATTTTTTTAAACATTTAGTGTGTGCACTTTACCTTTATTACAGCTTCCATTCCAGACTTGCTTTCAGTTTTTCAAAGAAATCTGCGGGGATGTTGTTCCATACCTCCAAAGTTCAATCTTAGATGCCAGTTGCATTTTCTGGACGTTGGGGTGGCCAGTCCATTGTTCTGAGAAGACCAGCAGCTTCTTTGTTTGATGTGTCCATCTCCTTTTCTCAGTGAGGCTTCTTTCAGCTACACATCCTTTCAGACCCACAGCGCTGAGTCGTCTTCTCACAGTGGAAGGATGGACAGAAACACCTGTGGATGTTTTCAGATCGAAGCAGCTTGATTTTCTCCTCTCTCTCAGAGATGAAAGCTCTAAGTGCTGTTTATCTAAGGGCAGTTTTGGTGGTCTGTCAGGTCTTCCAGGTGGTTGTTAGGAGCCCCATTTTCTCGGTAGCTTATAATGATTTTTTGAACTCCAGTTTTGGAAACTGCTGTTTCTCACCTTCGACTCTCTCCTTCCTCATGCATGTGGATTATCTTATATTTAATCTCTTCAGAAATATCTCCTGAAAACTTAATAATGTACTTAATGGAGCTTTGTGACTGGAAATTCAGTAAATGAAAGGTGGTCTCTGACTGTACTGTAAGTGTGTGTATGTGTGTTCTTTAGGAAACCCGGATACGTGCGATGGAAAAAGACCCAGCCTTAAACACACAAAGTATCTTGATAACCAACCAGTGGGTGCAGGGGGAGTCCACACACATGCTGATCACTCACACACATCAAGATACACACAGCTGGATGGAAGCCTTCTGGCAGCATTTTTATGACATGAGTAAGTACACACACATACACCCATGCAAACACCCACCCTGACACGCCCACCCAAAAGGAGACTTCCTGGCAACATTTTTATGAAATGAGTGCACACATACAAATGCACACAGATATGGTGGAGTTCTTGTAAAGCGTCTCTTGTGCTCAGACTGTGTCAGTTTTCAGCTGGAATGTAATGACGTCATCTGTCCATGGTCAGCAGATCCCATCAGCGTGTTCATCAGTGTCACCTTATCTGCTCCATCACAGTTCTCTGCACAGCCCAGCAACGTGCAGACCTCTTCACGTCTTAGCACAGAAATACGTGCATGCGTGTATGAAGATATAATCCAGTATGAATCTGCAGTGTTTGTAGATTTACAGTCTACAGTAATAATTGTGGAGTGATTTTAATCCAGTATGAATCTGCAGTGTGTAGTTTTACAGTCTGACGGTAATAATTGTGGAGTGATTTTAATCCAGTATGAATCTGCAGTGTGTGTAGTTTTACAGTCTGACACACGTTATCATTATTGAAAGTGTCCTGTGACGTGACACTGACTCGACCTTTCGCCCTCAGTTATCTGTGATTGTTTGTGGAAATTTCACAGATACTTTATCTTAAACCAATTAGCCAATCCGGCCCCATCAAACTACATTACACAACCTAATCTGGGAAAAATGAATCCAGCTTTAGTAGAACTCCAATCATACATTGCCCATCATATTCATCAAAAGTTTGAGAATATCTAGCATTTCAAAAGAATTTTAGTACAATTGAGCATGTTTTATTTATCAGTTTGCAGTATTTTAACATATTAAAGATACAAATTTGTGGCAGTATTTTTGACAGTGTTACCTTAGTAATAATGCATCATGCATCTTATTCCCTTGGCTCCAAACGTTTGCTGAGCAGTGTACAGACAGTGCAGTCCATTCATATTAGCATCTGTTCTTTGTTCTGTATTTCAGCATATTGAATTTGAAACGATGATGATAGTGAAGTGGTAAATGTTTAGCTTTAATCTGAGGGTATTTATCCAGATTTTCTGTATTGGTGAGCTGTATACACTGTGACAATTTTTATATCCTTGAAACAAAAGGTTAACATGCTGTTCCTCACATGTGCAGAGCTATAATAATAAGCACAGTTTTCGCAGTCTGATTATATTCTCTCCATTTTGAGAATTTTAAGATTTCTTTGTTTCATTATACATTCTCTACAGGTTGGGAGAAGGGGGTTGTGAGGCATTTGCAAGAAGCTATAGGAAAATGTTTGTTTATGAAAAGTATTTTGCTTTAAATCATATGTTTTCTTGGTAATCAGGTCAATTTAACGGAAGGTGTACTTTTATACAGTATTCCAGTGATCTGCCTGGCTTTCGGTCAGTTAGCATGTTACAGGAATACCCTGATGTCTTTGGAACACCTATAAACACGTTAGCTGAGGAAATGTGAGCAGACAGGTAGCACATATTTCATTATCTTAGTTTTAACAGCAGATACTATCAGTCACATACCTAAAATCTATCTACCTTAAATTTCTCTAGGTTTTGTGGAATTTGCATAGCTGACATATTGACCCTGTGACCTTGTTGTTGAATGAGATGTAAAGAGGTGCTTTACGTGACCCCTGTTTGTTTCGTTTAGATAGCAGTTTTTACTGGAAAGGAATACAGGTTTAGTATTTTGTGGCACGCGCCCGTCCCCCGGGTCCTGACGATGACCGCGAGAGATGGCAGGAAGGCGGGGCCTGAACTGTCCTTGCAGGGAGAGGAGAACTGCGAGTGAGTGAGGGACAGAGTGCAAGTCCCGAGCACCAACTCTTAGGCACTGTCACAGGTCCCAAAGCGAGGCCACTTTGGTTTGCCTTACGTTCGACCCAGGTGGCCGAGCTGTGGAGCCAGAGGCAGTGCCCAGGAGGTGGAGCCTTGGACTTGCACTTACTCGCGGTTCTCCTCTCCCCACGAGGACGGTTTGGGCCCCGCCTATCTGCCGGCTCTCACGGCCGTCATTGGGAAATTGTCTTGCGTGTCCACAGTGCTCAGTAGACTCAACCATTTCAGCTGAAACAAAGTTTTCACTCAAGATACTAGAAGGTCTGTAGCTCCTCTTGTGGACAGTCTTGTTAAATGTGAGTGAGTGACAGAGTGACTGACTGACTGACTCACTCACTCACTCACTCACTCACCTACTTACCTCCTTACATGTCAACTCCACTTTCTGCTGACTCCACTTTCTGCCTCCACTTAGATGAGCCCTTCTCTTATCTTGGAAGCAAAATCCCCTCATATTTTGATCTCTGATTAAAAGATGTATTGAGCTTAATATGTTTAAATCAAAAACACAAGGGCTGGATTTGATCAATCAGCTTCAGCGTGAAAACAAGCGCCTGCACACGAGTACCTTATTTACATATCATTTGCAATGTACACACCCCATTTGCCCTCATACACATATAATTTACATAAAACGGCCTAATTTATGCAAATGTTTCAGTAGTGAGCAAAATAAAACAAAAGTGTTTACCAGCTCATGAGCAATGGTTGTCTTCATAGGTGGAGTTTGGGGTCAAGCAGCAGGTGCACTGCTCCCCCTACTTGCCAGAGGATAAATATCTTTGTGTTGTGCAGAAATTGAATAGAATAAAATATGAAAAAAAAATAAACATAGCTTTTTTCATATGATAGAACGATGTGATTGTGTAGTATGAACATTTTCATTAAACACTGGCTGAGAGATTAAAATAGCAGGTGAGCTATGATTTACTGTATCAGTAGTATAAAGCAAAACTGTTTAAATGGAATATACAGTCGTAGCATTTGTTTATATTACTGCATAAATATAAAAGTACATCCACTTTAGTACAAGGACTGCTGTGTAGTTAGTAGTATTATTATTGTTAGAAGGGCCAGTGTGATTGGTTAGAGCCTTATTTGCATTTTGCAGTCTTCTGCAATATCAGTATTGCTTTGGACAATATCACTATAATGATAATCTGTAGTCCTAGCCTTTGTCATCCAGTCGAATAAGAGATTAGGGAGATATCTGTTGGGAAACCTTCACAGTTTGCCTTAAGCCCTGAAGGTAATTGAGATATATGGCTCTCTTAAATAGTCCAGCTTTGGCTTTGGCTTTGTGTGACTTGCTTATCTCACTCACAGGCCTAGAATCTGACTGTTTGAAAACAGACACCCATGAGCACATTGTTGCTACTGGTTGATTGTAAAAGGCACAAGTGGTTGTTTTTGTGTGTAAAAGAAAGTGATAAGATAAGTAGGGGATCTAAATCAGTATCTGTATTGAAAAGCGGGACAGGGAAGTTATTTTGAGTGGGAGGACGGCTCTGTTAGGACTCTTCTCAGCTCCTCTTAGAAGTGCTGGCTTTATCAATATGAGTTTAGATAAGCGTACGAGTTCATTCATAGCATTAGTTGTTCTGCTGACATTTCTATAGAGTGACGCTGAGACACTGCGTGAGCCAAATGTTCACTAAGCGGCTGTAAACATTGCTAAATGATGATAAAATTTATATTCGAATTGATTAATTTGAGGGAATTTAACTGCCTAATTTGGGGGACGTTGGTTGTGATGGTTTTAGCTATATTTTCACTTTAAGTCAATGTGAATAGAAAATCATCAGAAATTTTCTTTCCGTTGGTGACACATTTTCAGGTTTGAGAGCTCTTGATGATAGGAGGTGGTAGGAGAGGGAGCCGAAACCAGACATTATTGGTTAATATTATTTAACCCCTATTTTGTAGTTCCAGTGTCACGAGAAGATCTTTCAGAAAGGCAAAACACAACTTATGCTTCCTATATAAAGATTTATTTACACGCAGCCAAACAAGCCAACAACATGAAACTAGAACTACTGACAATGGGAGGGGGGGATAGGGGTGGCTATAAATTGTTTCAGATATTATTTTGAAATTATTTAGAAACTGTGCCAGAAAAGCATCAGAGGTTTATATCTGGGGTTCTTTGACACCAGTTGCACCTCACACTCTTTTCCTTGGGCTTTAAAGCACAAAGCATCTCCAATCTGTCATGTGTTTTCAATTTTTAGTGACTTTATGAATTCATTGCAGTGTGGGAGTTCATCGAGAAAGGAATGACCCCCCCCCCCAAACTAAAGACACAGGCATGCACACCTTTTTCCTTCTTGGAAATCTGAACCATGTTACCTACAAATTCTGCGTATGTTGTTGCAGCGTCTGGTCATGCAGAAAACTATCTGGCTGCTTACGCAAGTGTTTCTTTGGAAATTGTTTTTGGCTCTTCTCCCTTCATGTAAGAAAATAAAACACTCATAAACATAAACTGGCTATTGTGTCTGATGGAATTTAATTTTGCTTTCCTTGTGTCGGTTTTTGTGTGTGTCTGACAAAACGGGCCGAGTCTTTTTCCTCCAAAAATGTTTTAATTACAAAGGTCAGCCTTTGACTTGATGCTGCTATTACATTACAGACCACTGCAATCAGACAGCCCTGTTCTGCCCCTCCCCCTTCACCTTGTCCGGCATGTCCACTGCCTCCTACGTAGTTTATGATTGCGCACTGTTGTCCACTTTATCGTCTTTATTTTTGTTTGCTAACTTGTCCTGCAGTTTTTGAGATATCACCAATGAACCAACTCTGGAATGGTCAGTCTGATCAAGAATGGTGGACTTACAGGTGGATACGGCTTTTTGATTGGACATATGGTTTCTGTATAGCAGTTGTTTAAGGTCAGATTTTTTCCCATAGGGATGAATGGCAGAACTTTGTGGCCAAAAGTTTGTACACCCCTTGTATATCAACGTGATGGTGTTGGTATCCCAGGTGATGCTAATGCATCACCCTAACACCATGGTAACACCCTGGCAACTACCTGGAACACCATAGCAGCCACCTAGTAGCACCGTGGCAACCGCCTGGTACACTGTAACAACCACCTAGCAACACCCTAGCAACCACCTGGGATGCCATAGCAACCACCTAATAACACCCTAGGAACCACCTGAAATACCATAGGAAC